TGCCTGGGGTCTCTTGAGTGCATTGAACCCCATTCCTCACACGATTGAAGCAGCCCCCGGCTGTACCCCGGGCAGGTTCAGGGACCCTGGGTGTCTCAGGACAACATCTCTTGTTGCCGTGCAATGGGGCTGCAGCGTGGCGTTAGCACTAGGCGGGACCAGGACGTGTCTGGGAGGGCTGGGACAGGGCTGACGCTGCCTGGACCTCGGGGCTGAGCTGGAGGAGACCCTGGGGAGGCCCTGGCCATCCAGCTTTGCAAGGCTCCTCAGAGAAGCTACGCACATAAGTGCTCCGGCACGAGCCTGGGGGAGGGTGGGGTCCCCCTTTCCTGGCCCACGGCCTCTCCAAAGGATGAGCTCAGCGGTGCCGGAGCCAGCTGGCAAATACAAAAACCCACTTCCCCCTGGCTGCCGCTCCACCGTTCCTACAAGGAAAAATCTCTCTCCTCCTCCAGCGCCGAGCAAAAACAAGGTGCGCCACATATTCCAGGGCACATTGTACATGAGGAAATACGGTAACCCCTAGGGTGCTGGCTGCGGTCCATCAGAGACAGCCGGACCCGGCTGCCTTTTCCTCCAAAAACTGATGCCCTAAGCAAGGACCACAGGGAGACAGGAGGAGGCTGCTATGATTTAATGCAAAAAACCCCCACACGGGACTGACGATGCCAAGGACCCCACCCTGCCTCCCTTACCCCTACATGGTGTGGGGGGACAAATAGTAAGGGCCAGATCCTAACCCCGGTTGTGGCAGCAGGACAGGAAAGCGGAGCACTAAGGAAAGCAACTGGGATTTAAAAAGCAACGGCAAAGACACCTAATTTGGGGTAGAAAGAGACCAAAACCATCCCTGGTACTGTATTATCTCGCATACAACATACTCCTCCCCACCCCCCACTAAAATAAGCTGCTGGCAATTGTAGGGCACCTTATATGCGGGAAATACAGTACGAGCCATTTCTGGAAAGATTGTTCATTCCCTTCCTTCTGCCTTTCGACAAGACAGCACAGATTATATTGGGGGGGGCAGGGCAGGGCGGGCTGTAGGCAGGAAGATACGGTAATGTGCCTAGGAGGCCTGATTTCTCCCTGTATGAAGGAGTGTGGAGGCGGCAAAGCTGGGGGTGCGGGAGGGACACTGTCCCCTTGGCATTGGTTTAGCCAGGAGTGGATCCAGTGGGGGGGGGCAGTGCCTGAACTCCCCCCCCCCACACACACACACACACACACTTTTCAGATTGGCTTGCACCCCAGGAGTCTGGGGGGGGGTGTTCCTTAAGGGTCCCCAAAGCAGGTAAGAAGCCCCCCTCCCTCTCCTCCGTGCTCAGAAACACCTACCTCTATTGCTTCCTTCACTGTCGGGGTGGGGGGGATGCTTCAAAGCCCCTCCCACCTGCTCCAGCTGGGTGGCATGGGGGGGGCTGGGACCAGGGACAGCAGCAGAGGTGATGGGTGGAGGGGCTCCCCCTTCCCGAGCCTGCTCCCACAGGGGCTGGGGAGGGTGGGGGATGCCCCCCTGCCCATCTCTGCCCGTACCACCGTCCCTGTCCCAGGTGAGCCCAGCCCCCTCCAGGGACAGTGGGGAAAGCAGCGGTGGCGGGGAGGGTTGGAGGGAGCAGGGAGGAGATGGGAAGCACCTCTGAGCACCGAGGGGAAGGGAAGGGGATTTCTCACCTGTTTCAGGGACTTTAGAGAAGTCCCCCATGGCTCCGATGGCCCGGTCATCGCCCACTGATGGGCGGGGAAGGGGAGGCGGGCAGCTGGGGTGCAGCCAGCCCGGGGTGTAGCCCTTTAGGTCTGGGGAAGGGGGTGCAGAAGGGGGTGGGGTCTCTAGAAGGCGAAGCCCCCAAAATCGGGCGCATCAAAGTCCTGGTCCAGGCCCTCGTAGTCCAGCGCGTCGTAGGGGGCGGCTTCGGGGTCGCAGGCGCTCGGGTGGTAGCCCAGCTCCTTGAAGTCAGGGGGCAGGGCCTCAGTGGGGCGGGCGGTGGGTGCCGAGGTGACCATGTAGCCCATGGTGGGGCCGGCCGCTGCACTCCCCATCAGCAAGCAGGCAGCCCGGACCCCCGGCAGAGCCGGGGAGCCATGGCGGAGGCAGTGCGCGGAGCGCTTCTCCAGGCGCTGGCTCGTCCTGGTGGGGGCTGGGGAGAGAAGGCAGGGGTAGGTGGTGCCATGAGACCCCCCTTGGCTCTGGGTCTGAATGAGCCCCTCGCCATGGCTCTCCAGCGCCAAGGCTAATGGGAGACCCAGAGCCCTGCTGACTGCGGGGTCCGTGGCTGTGGTGCCAGGGCCGTGGTGAGGGGGGCTCAAGTCATGGGGGACCTCGCACCTTCTCTCCTCTCTGCACCAGGGGACTCATTACCCCCTCCCGCTTCGGTCCAGCAGCACGTCCTGGCGGGCGAGCGGATGTGGAGCCGGCAGCTCGTGGGGGACCCTTGGGAGAAGCTCTGGGCAGAGACAGAGAGAAGAGCTCCATCACCGATGGGGCCATGGGCTGGTCCCCCCTGAGGCCCCCTGAATCCCTTTGCACTCACTTCCTTGACTTTGCGGAGGACATTAAGCCACTGCCTGGAAGCCGGGGAAGAGAAGAAGAGGGGAGGTTAGTGCCCTGGAGCCAACCTCTTCCCCCCATCCACACCACCCCGTGGCGCACAGCTCAGAGCTGGGTCACCAGGTGCCGGACGGAGGCAGCTGGAGGCACAGGGGCTGTGCCGGTTGAGGGCAGTAGGGGCAGGACACCCCCTGGGGCAGATCCCGGTGGGGGGCAGCAGGGCTGTTGCACCCTTTTTGATTCTTACCACACCCAGACTTTAAACCCAACTGCCGGCAGAGGCAGGGGCATTTCTACTCAGGCAGCCCTGAGTCCATGGGCTTCTTCACCTCCCTGATTCCTGCTAATCTCTCCACCCCACACATGTTAAAGGCTCTCTCTCCTTTCTAACAGTCTTGATCGTTGCACTGCTCAAGCCAGCCTTTCCTCTGCCTGCACCTACTGCTGGTAAACCAGCATCT